CCTTTTCATAACAGAGTTGGAAGCCAAATTCTCAAAGTCAAGCCAAGAACAATAAGCCTGTAAAAGACGCCCTTTGAATTTTGTTCCACTGAAGATTTTTAAAGTTTTTTTTAAAAAAAAAAAAAGTGAAGCATTATATCATTGTGTGCTTCTGAAAATCCAAAGAATATGAAAATAAATTCTGATTAAAATTCTCTGCATAATTCGTGACTTTTCATCAAAATGCTCAGATGGCTTATCTCCCAGCACATTTAAATATTAATTCATTATAAAATTACGTTGTTTATAAAATATTGCTTTATGGTACTTCATATAATGATCTTGATCAAATACACAAAGCAAAAGGTACTTTTAATAACACATAGCATCATAGCACTTACTAATATACGAAACACTCTTCTTTAAGGACTTATATGGAAGCTGTTTTGTATTCACTCAGTCATTCCCTAGCAAGCGTCAGTATTCTCCCATTCGAGTATCTTCACTTATGCTTTTATAATATTCCTTGTGCTCATTCCTTCAAAGGACTTCAGTGTATTCTAAAATACATCTGAGACTACTGAGAAAAGAGATGATCCTATAAACATCAAGCAGAGAAGATCATGCCAGCAGCATTTAATTCTTGGCTCCGTAAAGAAAAATAATTATTCAGAGGACTTAATTACTAATTCTGGGAAGAAACATCTGAAGCAAAGCCAAATTGAAAGATCCCAGTGGACATGGAGTAGAGAAAAAAAAAAACACTAGAGGCATTCATGATGAGATTTTGGAATGGAGTGCTAAACATGGCTATTTCCAGAAGAATAAAATATTATATTTTATTATAGCTCAGGTAAGATTGTTACATTAGTGCCAAAATATATGGTATTGATGAACGAAGTTATTGCACCATTATACCACCAAAATGACTGCGACCCTTCCCCCTTGTCCTTGTGTCACCTCTACTCCAGTCCTTGTTTCTTCCCATTCCTCACTCCAGGACTTGGTAATCAATATTTTCATCAAGGTCAAGAGTTTGCTATTCTTTGAGACTCTTTTAACTTGTTTGCCACTCTACAGTCTACAAATCATCTGGTATTTGTCCTTCTCTCTCTAACTTATGTTACTTAACATGATACCCTCCAGTTCCATCCACATTTCTGCAAAATAACTGGTTCCTTATTTCCTTTGAACTATGTAATATTCCACTGTATATATGCCACAACTTCCTTACCCATTAGAAATTTAGGTTGCTTCCATATCCTCGGCTATTGTACTAAGTGCTGCAATGAACACACGTATGCATTTAACTTTTCCAATTAAGGTTTTTGTATTTGGGGAGAAGATGCCAAGAAGTGGTATTTCTGAGTCATATGGAAGTTCTATTCTTGCTTTTATGATTAATCTCCAAACTTCTTTCCATAAAGGCTGAACCACGGGTCAGCACGTAAGGCACTTGCCTTGCATGCAGGTTCAATCCCTGGCACCACATATGGTCCCCTGAGCCCTACCAGGAGCGATCCCTGGGCATAGAAAACCAGGAGTAAAACCTCAGCATCACTGGTGTGGCCCAAAAAAAAAAAAAATACTGAACCAGATGGTATTTCCATCAACCGTGGATGAGGGTTCCTGTTCTCCCCATCCCACCAACACTGTTTCAATCTTGTTAATAAATCCCATTTTCACTGAAAAGATATCATTGTTGTCTTGATTTGCATTTCTCTGATAACAAGTGATGATGAACACTTTTTCATATGCCCACTGGCCATCAGTAATTTTTTTATTTTTATTTATTAGTGCAACACCATGAGGTACAGTTATAGACTTACAAATTTTTGTGCTTGGGTTTCAGTTATAAAATGATCCAGTACCCAACCCTCCACCAGTACTGTGTAGCTGTTAGAAAGGATGAAGTCATGAAATTTACATACAAGTGGTACTACATGGAAAGTATCATGCTAAGCAAAATGGGTCAGAGAGGGACAGACATAGAAAGATTGCATTCATCTGGGGAACATAAAGTAACAAAATAGGAGACTAACACCCAAGAATAGCCAAGATAAATAAATACCAGGAGGTTTACTCCATGGCCATCAGTATTTTTGGGAAAAATGAGCTACATGAATGCTTTATATATTTTGGAAACCATTCTTTATCTAATACATTGTGTGCAAATATTTTCTCCCATTCATTAGAGTATCTCTTTATTTTAATCCAAATTTCTTTTGCCTTTCCATGCCATGCAAAATCTTACTAGTTTGATACAGTCACATCTGCCTATTTCTGCTTATGTTTTCTTTTTCCCCTAGCACTAAATCACTGAAGATACCTCTAAAGAATAAAGTGTTTTCTATTCTATCAGGACCCAAGTAAAGTATGAAACTTTATTTAAGGCAGAAATGTTCTGATCACACAGAATTCATTGTCCTTGTGGCAAATGTTTTACACAAGCAAATAGAAAATTAAATGAAAAATCAAAGAGAGGTAATCTTACTCATCTAAACAAGAGTGGTTTATGATCTGACAATCCTCACGATAAGGTTCTGCCCGAGATTAAAAACATGTAATAATTGTATTATTGAAGAGTGAAAATGGTTCAGTAAGAAAGATATCTGAGGAGACAGAGAAATAGTACAGTAGGAAGGGACTTGCCTTGCAGACAGTCAACACAGATTCGATTCCCAGCACCCCACATGATCCCCCAAGCCCCACCAGGAGTGATCCCTGAGCTCTCAGGAATCAGTTCTCAGCACTGCTAGGTGTGGCCAAAAACCGAAAGAAAGTAAAAAGAAAATGAGAAATATTTGGTTTTGTTCATTTTAGAGAAAAATTAATTACAGGATACACTACAAACTATTAACAACTACTAGATATCTAGCCCTCCCGTTGATCATCGATTTGCTAGAGCAGGCCCAGTAACGTCTCCATTGGAGACTTTGTTGTTACTGTGTTTGGCATATCGAATACCTCACGGGGAGCTTGCCAGTCTCTGCCGTGCAGGCGAGATACTCTCGGTAGCTTGCCGGGCTCTCCGAGAGGGGCGGAGGAATCGAACTCGGGTCGGCCATGTTGGCTGCGTGCAAGGCAAACGCCCTACCACTGTGCTGTATGTCAGCAAAAGAAACTGCAATTAGATATAGAAAGAGAGCTATACTTAGATGGGTCCCACATAGAGGTGCAGTACCAGACGCTACATATTCTCTTCTGAAAATATCTAAAAGGGGACCAAGGAGATAGCTCAGAAGGTGGAAGCACGTGTTTTGCACGCTATAGCCTAGGGTTCCATCCTGGATTGAACCACGTGGTCCCCAGCACTGAGTAAGGATAGTCCCCAGGTACCACTGGGTGTAAAAAACTACCAAAAATTTGGGGCTGGAGTTATAGCACAGCAGGTAGGGCATTTGCCTTGCACGCAGCCGGCCCAGGTTCGATTCCCAGCATCCCATATGGTTCCCCAAGTACTGCCAGGGGTGGTTTCTCAGTGCATGAGCCAGGAGTGGCCCCTGTGCATTTCCGGGTGTAACCCAAAAAGCAAAAAAATAAATCAATAAAAAATTTAATAAATTGTTCTGTCCTCCTGTTGTTCATCGATTTGCTCGAGAGGGCCCAGTAACATCTCCATTGTGACACTTGTTTTTACTGTGTTTGGCATATCGAATACATCACAAGTAGCTTGCCAGGCTTTGCCATGAGGGCAAAATACTCTCGGTAGCTTGCCAGGCTCTCCGAGAGGGGCAGAGGAATTGAACCCGGCTCAGCCTGGCCGGCGGCTTGCAAGGCAAATGCCCTACCATTGTGCTATAATAAATTGTTAATTAGTAAAAATTAGTAAGTAAATGCTCTGATGTGACAGGCAATATATGATGACAGTTAAGTGCAATTTAAACTCCAAAACATGAAAACAGTAGAAATGAATGGTCATCCTAAAGGGACTCCAAATTTCAGATTCATATTCCTATGACAGACTAGGATAACTATTCTAAGGCATTTCCTAAGCTAAATCTGGGTTAGTGAAACTAGGCATTTCCAACACCAAATAGGTAAGTTAAGACCTAACCCTACAGGTACAGTATGGCAATTGCTATCCACATGTTACTGGACACTTGAATATGGCTGGTTTGAATTTAAACAAATGTGTTATGAGTATATTTAAAGATTTACTATTTTTTTTGAGATTTACTATTTTAAAAAATGCAAAATCTGAATATTTTAGATATACTAGATTAAATTAAGATCCACTTTCAAAGTTTATTTTACAGGACTGGATATGTGGCTCAGTGGTGCAACAACTGCCTGGCCCCGGGTTTAATCCGTAGCACCAAAGAAACAACACTCCACGTACTTGTTTTCCTTTTTCCTTTTTTTTCTTATTATGGCTTCCAGAAATTTTAAATTTTTAATTTGTGACTTGCAACATACTTTTGTTGGCCAGCATAAATATCCAAATTAAAATCAACACTGAGACAGTTTGAGATAAAACACAAGTGTTGCTTTTATGTAGTTAAATATATGCGAATATAAGCAGAAGAATGAGGCATTTGAAGTAACTGGTATTGATGGAGCATTTAGAGTGTTCAAGGGCAGTAGCAGTGGTTACTATACTGTTTTTTTTTATTTTTTTATTAGTGAAACACCATGAGGTACAGTTATAGATTTATAAATTTTTGTGCTTGGGTTTCAGTTATACAATAATCAAGTACCCATCCCTCCACCAGGTAAAGGATATGTTGCAACTGCAGATTCCCACACCCCTCACCTCACCATAACATCACCAAGACTCCTCCTCTGCTACATGGGTCTACCTTTTCGGGTTTTGTTTTGGGGGAGAAGGGGAGTGTGAAAGAGCCTTGGGCCATGTGCTGCAGTGCTCATGGGCTATTCTTGGCTCTGTGTTCAGGAGTGACCTTTAATGGTACTAGAGGGACCATACATGGTACTAGGGATTGAACTGGGATCAGCTGCACACAGGTGAGCAAGCACCTTAATCCCTGTGCTATCTGTCCGGCCCCATTCCTACTTACCTTTGATGAGCTCTGGCTTGTACGTCTTCCGTAGCTGCTCCAAGAAGCTTTTGTAGAAGGTCTCCGCCTGCTCCGTGGGCATTGCCAAGTGGAAGTCGGGCTTGTTCCCCTTGAGGACACATTGCAAGGTAAACTGGCTAACACACAGCACCTCATACTGTTTGTCCATCACACTCTTCGACCAGTGTTTTCCACTTTCATCCTCAAATATACGCAGGTTTAAAATCTTTCGGACCCTACGAGTGAAAAATAACAGTGAAAGCTAACTGAAGAATTATAAGTGCCCTGCTCATGGGGCATTTTCCTTCCACGAACTCAACCATGATTCAATTTCCAGCACCTTATATGCTCCCCGTGAGAACTGCCAGGAGTGATCCCTGAGCGCAGAGTAAGGAATAAGCCCTGAGCACAGCCATGTGTGGCCAACACACACACACACACACACACATGCACGCACGCACGCGCGAAAGAATTGTTGGTGCCCTAAAACTCAGTACCCACAATGTTATGTTACTGGCATTCAGCCAAATAAAGACAAAAGGCTAAAACCATCACTTATAGGAGGCGTGTCCTTGGGCAGGTTCCTTATTCATTGGAGGGTTTCCTTCTGTGTAATATGGGTTAAATAATAATCCTACTCCAGGATGTTGTATGAGAGTTCCTTCTTTTTCTTCTTCAGTCCCTCCAATTCTGCAACTGCCAGCGGAAAAGTGGAACTCAGGAAAGAACCACTCATTAACTGCCCTTTGGTCAAAACACAGGTCTCATCTGAACTTTTCTAGAATCTTTACAATGACAGTGCTTTTTATATTCAGCTACTAAAAAAAGACTCAGCAAATTTTTCTTAAGAAAACTCATGGTAAATGCAAATACTCAAAAAGATCTGAGGAGCAACCAGGGAGATGTTCAGAGGTTAAAGTACATGTCTGCCATGCAGCTAACCCCCAGTGCAATCCCCAGAAATATATGGTGCCCCAAGCATGGCCAGGAATAGTCCGGAGGGTCCCCAAGCTCTACAGGTGTGATCATGGAGGCCCCAGAGCATGCCATGGTGGCCCATAGAGGTCCCCAAGCAACACCATATCCTCAGGCCCTCCCACTGAATTATCAGGATGAGATCCCACACCTCATAAGCATCATAGCCTTCACCAAATGAAGATCTGAGGAAATATACTCATGCTTCTCGAGACTCAGAAGGGTGCACTCCCTGTACGTGTGGTTGATTAAAACTTACCTTGGCAAGGAAGAGGACCAGGTAAGATGAATATGGTCAGATTTGAGAAACATGACAAAGAATTATCTGTATAAAAATTCAAATTTCAGAGCCAGAGAGATAGTACAGCGGGCAGCCCTTGCACAGGGCCCAGTGGTTTCAATCCCAGCACCATATACAGTGCCATGAGCCACACTGAGGGTGATCCCTAGAGAAGAGCCAGCAATTTGAGTAGAGAGCAGCAAGAGCAGTTGGGTGTCACTCCAAAACTAAACAAAAATTAAAATTCCACCACTTGAAAGCCACCTTTTTGAATGATGCTAGAAACATATTCAAGCACATTAATTGAGTAACTGACTAACTAAATGGATACCCTATGTGGTGGGCACCATTTTCCACCCCTTCCCATACCTCTGCCTTATGTTAAGTCACACCTCTAAATCTCCTAAACTATTACATTCAGGGCCCCTTTTTTCAACTATCACACAACTCAACTGACTCTGAGTTGACAGGAAACATCTGGGAAATCACTTCAGGCCAGAGCAATAGCCCAAAGGACTGGAGCACACACCTGGCATATGCAAGACCCTGGGTTCGATCCCTAGCACCACGTGGCTCACAAACACCAGCAGGTATAGTCCCAAAGTCCCTCAGCATCTCTAGGATAGAACCCTGAAAGCAAGCACACAAATAAAACATCATCATCCTGAAATGAGAATGCACAGTCCCACTGGTCACCAATGCATCACTAGGAGCTAGGTTCCAAGTCTGATTTTCAATCTATTACAAAATACCCAAAATCAATACCCAGGCTCTGAGTTATACCCAAGTGGCAGAAAAACAGATCCAAGCACAGGAAATGGATGTGCAACGTGGTGCTGGCAGGGAGGTTGAACACCAGGAGAGGCAACTGCCAGAACCTAGGAGAGTCAGCTGGACAACAATGATACAATCCCCTCTCTTTGCCAATGAACAGTGCCAGCCTCCTGGTAAGCTAGCCTAGGTTCAAGTTCAGAGTCAGGCTGTGTGTGTGTGTGTGTGTGTGTGTGTGTGTGTGTGCGCGCGTGCGTACATCAACTCAGAAAATCAGATTTTTTTAATTTTATTTTTATAAAGTGGTTCATAATAATTACATTCAATATTTCAACACCAATCCCACCACCATTACACCTTCCCACCACCATTATGGTTTTTTTTGTTTGTTTTTTGTTTTTAGTGAATCACCGTGGGGTACAGTTACAGACTTGCAAGCTTTCATGCTTGCATTTCAGTCATACAATGGTTAAGTAACCATCCCTCCCAGTGCCCATTTTCCCCCACCAATGGTCCCAGCATCCCTCTCACCACCCCCGCCCGGTCCCCTGCACCCCACCCCGCCTGTCAGGGCATTCCCTTTTGCTCACTCTCTCCTTTTGGGTGTTGTGGTTTGCAGTAGAGGTATTAAGTGGCCATCATGTTTGGTCTAAGGAATGGAGCGATAGCACAGTGGTAGGGCATTTGCCCTGCACGCGGCCGGCCAGGCCAGCCCGAGTTCAATTCCTCCGCCCCTCTCGGAGAGCCCGGCAAGCTAACGAAGAGCCCGGCAAGCTAACAAGAGTATCTCGCCTGCACAGGACAGCCTGGCAAACTACCTGTGATGTATTCGATATGCCAAACACAGTAACAACAAGTCTCAGAATGATGGAGACGTTACTGGGCCTGCTCGAGCAAATCGATGAACAACGGGAGGACAGTGCTACAGTGCGTGTTCAGTCTATAGTCAACTTTCAGTCTGCATCTCCCATCCCAAGTGGGCCCTTCTAGCACCCTTTACTTGGTTTCCCCAGCATGTGAGGCTGGCTTCTAAACTGTGGAGTAATCCTCCTGGTACTTATCTCTACTGTTCTTGGGTGTTAGTCTCCCATTCTATTGCTTTATATTCCACAAATGAGTGCAATCTTTCTATGTCTGTTCCTCTCTGACTCATTTCACTTAGTATGACACTTTCCATGTTGATCCACCTATATGCAAATTTCATGACTTCATCTTTTCTAATAGCTGCATAGTATTCCACTGTGTAGATGTACCAACATTTCTTAAACCAGTCATCTGTTCTTGGGCACTTGGATTTTTTCCAGATTCTGGCTACTGTAAACAGTGCTGCAATGAACATGTAAGTGCAGAAGTCATTTCTACTATACATTTTTGCATCTCCGGCTACCACCATTATTTGGATGTGTCCCACCACCACTCAAGCCTTCCCTATAGGCAGATGCAAGATAGTTTATTTTGTATTGCTTGTTATGAATAGTATAAGATGTCTGTAGAGGTCTATCTCACAGTGATTCAATAAAAAGCAAAAAAAAACAAAAAATAGTATGAGACGTCAGCCACGTGCTCCTGGATTTCTAAAAATTAATATAATTGGGGTCCGGAGCCATCCCTGCAGTGAGCTGCTTGGTTCCGAGATTCATTTGTGAATCTCTGGATCACAGCCTTTAACACGCTTAAATGGCACACAGAAGCAGGTCGTGGGTGTGACAGCCAGGGCCCCAGAGGGCAGGGAGATGGGAAGGGAGAACCCAGTCCCGACCCCCTGAGGCCTGGCATTTTCAATCACTGGTCCCGCATACCTGGTTTTTTAAATGTACTTATTCTCTGGCATGGGGGGGTCCAGGACTGGCCTGTGAAGATCTGCCGTGAGGGTGGCAGCGATTGGGAGAACCAGTTTTTTTTTTTTAATTGTCCTCTCATGCCTTTAAGAGTCAGCTGTAGGCTCAGAACAGCTCACCTCTACAGAGAGGGAAATTGCTGTGTACCCCACAGACTTCACTGTTAAAGCTAACGCACAGTGAGCCGGCAAAGCACGGGCTAGAGCTATCAGACGCCCAATTCAATCTGAGTACCAGACCCTCTATGTATGATAAACAACTTGGAGGTTTTAAAAATGTGTGAGTTATATTGCTCAAATTTAAAAACCAGGTAAAGAAATGCTGGGGTTTTGCATTTATAGAATGGTTGGCAGATAAGATAAGCAAAACAGGACACAGGGCATTCCCTTTTGCTCACTCTCTCCTTTTGGGTTCCTGTTCTGCTGACATTGTTGGTGATTTGCAACAAATCTCTCTGTCCTGGCCTCCTTCCATACGGGCCACGGAGATGGCTCAAAGAGCTGGAGTGCATGCTTTGTATGTAAGAGCCCTGGGCTCAATCCCTGACACTGCACAGGCCCCCAGAAACACTGTGGGGAGTAACAACCTAAGCACCAAATCAGGAGCAACCCCTGAGCACTACACTGCATGGAATAAAAACCAAAACCCCAAAAAATATTTACTTTAAAGAAAGCATAAAGGTAACCAAACTATGTTAAGTAGAACATATACAAAAGCGACATGTTCTCTATGGAGACACAAAATACTATGGAAGTTCCCAGAACAGATGTACAGATAAAACAAACACAGACAGAAAGAACCAACACACACACCAACCAAATAGCAGTAACTCAGATGTGTGCATCTTGGAGCAGTGATACTACAGAGGGCTGGAGAGCATGCTTTGGATATGGAGGCCCAGATTCAAGGATCACACTACTATAAGTGGCCCCTATGCATCATCCCAGGAGCACACCCCCTGGCACCCCGGGTATGGCCCTCCCTGACCGAAAGAAGAAATCTGCATCTTACATGTGGTCCAGTTCCTTCTGTGTATCTTCCAGAGAAATACCCAGTAACACGCAAATGCCCTGTCCAATGGCACTTATCTGCTCGCCGGCCACTAAAGAGGAAACAAAAGAGAAAAAGAAGACTCAGAACCAGAAGGCTCCTGAAGCATGTTAAGTAACCACAAGAATGTTTAGGCATCACACACTTCTTTTTTTTTTTTTTAAATGGGATAGTAGCTTTTATTTTTTATTTATTTATTTATTTATGGATCACACCTGACAATGCACAGGGGTTACTCCTGGCTCTGTACTCAGGAATTACTCCTGGCAGTACTCAGGGGATCATATGGGTCACTGGGAATCGAATCCCGGTCGGCCGCGTGCAAGGCAAATGCCCTACCTGCTGTGCTATCCCTCCAGCTCCCATCACACACTTCTTATAACTTCTCTAGCAGTCCGTAGGTATTCAAAAATAAAAGGAGTCATGTAAACGGAGTAAGATAATCAGAATTCATGTTTATTCTGTTTTGTTTTATGGACATGCCCGGCTACGTTCAGGGCTTCCTGGAGGCTTTGTGTTCAGGGGTCAGTCCTGGCATATGTAGTGCTTGGGAATCGAACCCACGCTGACCGTGTGCAAGGCAAGCACTTTACCCACTATATTCTCTCTCCAGCTCCCTAATGTCCATTCTGATTTTGTACCTGGAATGAGTGAGTTACAAAGTAAACAACCATTAAACAAGATTTTAAGGCTACATTTTTATCTGTGTTACCTTGATCAAGATACCTGAAACTTCCTATAAGCAAGTCTATCCATCTGTAAGAACCAAATACTTGTTTTCTCCCAGAGAATTCAGTTCAGATATATTAATTCTCAGTTTTTAATTATTGATTAAAAATTGATACCGATTTTTCCTGGAAATCAACAAATCATATAGCACAATACACAGCATAAGATGGACACATTTATGTCATAAAAGCAAAGAAATTATGTTTATATTATCAAAGAGAAGCAAAATATACATAAAACTACCATTTATATATCAAGTTTCAAATTGTCAACTTCTTTAAATTCCCAGCTTAGCAAAGTCTAAGTCAATGCTTGCAAATCTGGTGACTTTTCTGATGGGAGGACATGAGTCTTAAAGTGTTTTAAGGGGGCTGGAGCAATAGCACAGCGGGTAGAGCGTTTGTCTTGCACGCAGCCAACCCGAGTTCAATCCCTGGCATCCCATATGGTCCCCCAAGCACAGCCAGGAGTAATTCCTCAGTGCAGAGCCAGGAGGAACCCCTGAGCATCAATCACCAGGTGTGACCCAAAAAGCCAAAAAATAAAAAATAAAAAAAATAAAGTGTTTTTAAATTATTGAGAATAACTATATCAATATTAAAACATATTAACATTCATAATTCTAGCATAATCAATAACTATAAATGTTAATAAATGTAATATGTCTAAATTTATATTAATATCTAATTAAAACGTAGTATTAATGGAGATGTTACTGGTGCCTGCTCAAGAAAATCAATGAACAATGGGAGGATAGTGATAGTGACAGTGACAATGATTAATGTTTTAGGTATATAGTAATACTGCACCACACCCACCACCAGAGAGCTAATACCTTTCTACAGTCCCTTGGCCCCTTCTCTTCTGCTTCACATGTCAACTTTCCAAATGCTTTTGGGTTTTTTTTGGTTTTTCTGGTTTTTTGCTTTTTGGGTCACACCCGGCAATGCACAGGTACTCCTGGCTCTGCACTCAGGAGTTACCCCTGGCAGTGCTCAGGGGACCACATGGGATCGAACCCAGGTCAACCAAATCAAACTGAGAATCGAACCCGGGTTGGCCGCGTGCAAGGCAAACACCCTACCCGCTGTGCTGTTGCTCCAGCCCCTTTCCAAATCCTTTTGAATCACTGACCTATGCCACACACACACACACACACACACACACAAAATTCTCATCACCTCACACCAGTGAGACTAACACATCAAGGTGTGTACAAACACCTAGTGCTGGCAGGGATGGGGGCGGGGACAGAAACCCTCTTCCACTGTTGTTGTTCAACCTCAGAGGAAAATAGCATGTAGACTTCTTCAAATGTTAAGAATGAGCTTCCTGGGGCACGGATAGAGTGGGTGTACTTAAATTTACAACACATTCAAATAAATAATGAAAAGAAGTTAATGTAAATTAATACAAAAAAACAAAACTATCTGGAATATTTATCAAGACTTTTATTAATTATGGGGCCAGAATAGCAGTACAGTGAATAGGGCACTCGCCTTGCACAAGGCCAACCTAGGTATGAAACCAACTTCAAATGGTCCTGTGAAACATGCCAGGAGTGATCTCTGAGTGCAGAGCCCTAAGAAAAGCTGAGTATGATCCCAGAACCAATAAATAAACAAATTTTTTACTATTACAAGCAAATTAATTTTTATAGCCAAGTATGGCTCAAAAACGGAAAAAAAGAAATCTTTTATTATTACAACTAATTTCCACAGTAGAAAACTTGAGAATTATCATTTTAAACAAAAGACTACAAGGAAAGCTTGAAAAATTATTTGGTCATTTTCATGTATGAGTGGAATCAATCAAAGACGTTTTCCAAATTAACAAATTCGAGCCCAACCATTTTCATGTTCTCTTCCCACTCCTGACTTCCATAGAATCCTATTTTGTGATTCTTTTGGGATTTTAGTTGCTGCTTCTAAATAACAGAACATGGAAGTTACTGTACTATTCCATCTGTGTAACCAGATGAATGTCTGAAATGTTTCTCAAGCTAGACTGTCACAGTAACCATGCCACAGCATCAAAATGTGTTGAACCAACCTCATAAAGTGAATCACTCACATAATAAAATATAACTCCTAATATTTATACTTTGTCCCAACCATAAAATAGGAAATGACACTTTAAAGCCCCTGAAATAAAATGCTATTTGAGTACAGCCACTTTTCACAGAAGCCGGCCACATTCTGAAGGAATCAGAAAAATCTTTCACTGCAATTCACTAAAAGGCTTGACTAACAGGAAGCACTAAAAATCCCATCCTATTAGCACCAAATTAATAACATCTTCACATAAATAACAGTATTTAAATTCAGGCTTCTTTGCTTCTAAAAGAACACAACATAAATCACTTATCACTTAATCACTTAACTTCCCGTTAGTCCTCGATTTGCTCGAGCGGGCGCCAGTAACGTCTCCATTTGTCCCTGTCGCGTGCTAGTGTAGCCCAATGGCATCTGTTCGCTCCAGGAACATGAAGGGCCTCAAACTGATCGTTCATGATCTTGACGAAGAAGTCTGACCATCTGGTAGGTGGGCGGCCACGCAGTCTCTTGACATCCCGTGGAATCCAATCAGTAACAGCTCTAGTCCAACGGTCGTCTTTAAATCTCATTACGTGACCAGCCCATCTGATTTTCGACACCTTGGCAAATGAGACAGCGTCCCTGATCCTTGATCGTCGACGGATGTCAGAACTCCGGATTCGTTCTCTCATTTGAGTGAAACGTGATATTCCAACCATAGCTCTTTCTATTCTTCTTTGGCAGACCTGAATGGCGTTCTCATCTTGTTTGCATAGGGCCCAGGTCTCTGAGGCATATGTTAATGCAGGAAGAACAGTGGAATCAAAGAGATGTGCCCGGAGCCGGAGGTTCTTCGTCCTCTTAGCTATTTCTTCGACGTTCTTGAAGGCGTTCCAAGCTGCTCTCTTCCTCCTGCGCAGCTCGGGTGCCAGGTCATTTGTCATGTTGACCTCTCGACCTAGGTACACATAGCTGTTGCATTCGGAGATGGTCGTTCCATTGAGAGCGAATGGGGCGTCAGGAACAAGGCTGTTTCTCATAAACATTGTCTTCGTAAGATTCAGCTGTAGTCCTACCTTTCCACACTCACGGTCAAAGTCAGCCAGCATTTGTGCCACTTGGCTGATGTTTGGTGTTATTAAAACAATGTCATCAGCAAAGCGGAGGTGGTGTAGTTGCCGACCATCTATCTTCACTCCCATTCCTTCCCATTCCAGTCGTCGCATGATGTTCTCGAGGGTGGCACTGAAGAGTTTCAGTGAAATGGTATCACCCTGCCGCACCCCTTCTCTTGACATCAACGATCACTTCTTTGTAGAATGGTGAGATCCTGGTAGTGAATCCGCAATACAGCTCACGGAGGATCCTGATGTATTGGGCTTGAATGCCCTGATTGGCTAGGGCTTCAATGACCGCTTCCGTCTCAACAGAATCAAAGGCCTTCTTTAAATCAATGAACGTTAAGCAGAGCGGCATCTTGAACTCCCAAGAAACCTCAATGAGCTTGGTTATCGTGTGGATATGGTCGATGGTGCTGAATCCTTTGCGGAACCCTGCTTGCTCGCATGGTTGTCCTTCATCTAGTGTTCTGCCAATCCTGTTCAGGATGACTCGAGTGAACAACTTGTAGATGACAGACAATAGGCAGATCGGGCGATAGTTGCCAATGTCATGGATGTCTCCCTTCTTGAACTATAAGACCAAGATGACTGCCCTCCGACGTCCTGATGGATCCATCACATCCTCCAGAACGGCAATGGAGAAGATTATCCATGACTTCTACTCAAATCTCTTTGATAGCCATGTCCACTTGCCGACATACCAAATTCCACAGGATGGGTATGTCGTTCCCAACGTTCTCCCTTCCGAAATCCGACACGCCATTTCGTCGGTAAAGAAACAAACAGCACCCGGCCCAGACAAGGTCAGACCTGAACACCTGAAGAACCTGCCGTCGGTACTCATCAATACACTGGCTCGGCTCTTCACTCGCTACCTGTCTGAAATCAAGGTTCCGTCCCAATGGAAAACCAGCAGGACCGTACTACAACATAAATAGTAAACTAAAATTATTCAAACTCGGGGGCTGGAGCGATAACACAGTGGGTAGGGCGTTTGCCTTGCACGCGGCGAAACCGAGTTCAATTCCCAGCATCCCACATGGTCCCCCAGCACCACCAGTCCTGAGTACAAAGCCAGGACTAACCCATGAGCATTGTCAGGTGTAACCCAAAAAAGCAAAAAATAAATAAAATTACTCAAATTTCCCCACTTGAATGTATTAGGGAAACTCCTCGTAGGAGGGAAAGTCTATGCTTGTATTTTCTTTTTCTTTTTTTTTAATTTTTTATTGGTGAAACACCATGAGGTACAGTTGTAGACTTACAAGTTGTTGTGCTTGGGATTCAGTTATACAATGATCAAGTACCCATCCCTCCACCAGTGCCCATTCTCCACCCCCACCAATCCCAGTATCCCTTCCACCCCTCCCATCCCCCATCCCACCCTGCCTCTGTGGCAGGGCACTCCCTTTTACTCTATCTCTCCTTTTGACTGCTGTGGTCTGCAGAAGAGACATTGGGTGGCAATCATGTTCGGTCCATAGACTACTTTCAGCATGCATCTCCCATCCTGGGCAGATCTTTCCATATGCTTGTATTTTCTCAGGTAACAGACCCACAAAGAAATTTTGGGTCTCATTACATCTCGTCACAAGTTGAATTCACCAAATTCAACACTTAAACCATCAGAAACTACTTAACCCTCTAAATTCCAGTCAGCCAAACCAATTTCAGCTAGAAGTCACAAGGAAATCGGAGGAGTCAGCATCAGAGAAAAAGGTTTTTTTTGCAATAAAGTTTTCTAGCTTCTTTACAAAACCACCTGACAATTTGTTAGACTTCTGATTGAAGTTCTCCAGAGACTCAGTGATGTGACCACTACCGTTGCTGTTGCCGGAATCTTCGAACCTCATCAAGACCCATGATGTCGTCAAAACACGGAAAAGTGACTCTCATCATCCCTGGACAGTGCAGGACAATGGACGCTTTATTACAAGCACTGCTCTGGGTCCAGGGTTGGACTGAAATCTTAGTACAACTAATAAGACTGTATTGTGATTTGGAATTGTTCCTCTAATTCAAATTTTTGTGTTTTTGTAAACAGAAAAAGGGGAGATTTTGGATAACATTGGTTTGTCCTTTCTCCCTTGCCACAGGGAGCTTAAGTTTATCCGGTTACAGCCATCACAGTGCTCCCAAGTCACTCCCATTCCTCTGTTTATCTGTAGACGCTTCTCTGTGCTCTCCTCCCCAGCCAATTAATCACCTTTTTCCCTAATCAGATTCTGTAAGATCAGATCCTTTTAGGACGTTGAACTTTTGTAATTTAAAAATTGCATTCTCCACCTTTTACATAGTTTACCTTAGAGCAATGTCCTTTCTGTATGGACACAGGAAGACAGTTGATATTATGCTTTGTAACTTGGGAGTTGATTGACTCCGAAAAATGTTTACTCCTGGGTATCTGTTTTCTTGACTCAGTTGCCCTTAGTTCCTAGCACCTCAAAAGCAGGGTCCCAACGAGGGACTGAATGGACCCAGGGCAAGCTGTGGCATATCGAATAGGCATCAAAATGGGCCAGGCCAAAGCACCACAATACTCAATTGTAAGTTGAGGGCATGGTCATAGACAAATGCTGTCATGATCCAAAAGTAATGACGAGACTAGTACCCTGCTGGGGTTAGGAAGACTAACCTGGCCTGAGGATTGTAGTATGGTCTAAATACACACACATACACACACACACACACACACACACACACACACGCACACACACACACATATATATATATTCTATATATTCTCACTATATATTCTAGTGTGTATGTATACATATATACACACTAGAATATATAGTGTGATGTCCTCAGGAAGAACCAAACTGTAAGTTTGTATCTCCTACTGTGCTCATACAGAATGACATTGCTAGAACTATTTAAGTGAATTACTAGCTGAGGAAAGAACACATCCTCATTGGGATCCCACCGTTGAGGGGATCTCCTAGTAATCTGGAGTAATCTCTTTAGATGAAATTTTATCCTTGAGTCAATCTCCTGGAGGAGTGGTCTTACCTCTCTCTGTTGATTAGTTAATGTTCAACCCACCTTTGTGTCTCCACCCTACGTGATTGCTATGTAAACTAAGACTGTAAGCTCTGAGGGGGCTCAGGCTCCAGAGGGCAGAGTCAGAAGTGAGAGAGGCTCAGGCTTGAGAGAGAGAAGCAGAAGGGGAGTGAAGACTGGAATAAACTACAATTGACACCCTCATTCCTTCCTTCGCCTACCTATCCCCATTGGCCTCCCCAGGGTGGGGGAAGCGGCCAGAGACCACCGAACGCATGCGGCGAGAGAGATAGAGCGCCTGCAGACCTTTTGAAAACACACACTCAAACTCCACTCGGTGTATTTTCAATAATCTAGATCAACAGGTAGCACAGCAGGTAGGCATTTGCCTTGAATATGGCCCGACATGGCCAACCTGAGTTCGATTCCTCCACCCCTCTCTGAGAGCCTGGCAAGCTACTGAGACTACCTCACCCGCCTGGCAAAGCCTAGCAAGCTACCGTGACCTATTCGATATGCCAAACACAGTAACAAGTCTCACAATGTTACTGGGCCCATATCGATAACTAACTGGAAGACACTGACAGTGACAGTGACAGAGCAACAGGATGAAAAGTTCAGGAGAGAAAGGATCAAACTTAAACTCTCATGAGACCAGAGGACGTGGACCTGTGGTACCTGCCTTACAAGCTCAAGGTCCTGGCTTGGATGCCCATTACTGCCCCAGAACCCCCAGGTGTAATCCCCAGACAAGACCCTCAGCACCCCAACAACCAAGGGTGCGACCCATGTCACACCACAACCAAGCATGCAAACTGAACAAACTCGTAATGCCCAATGCACCGACACTAGAGAAGGGGAGAGAAAGAACTCTTTCTTATGCTTTCTGGAAATGACCACACAAGCAAATTATTTTCAAGCCAAAAAATAATATTAATAATAATTTCATTGATGATCTTTTGTAGTGAACTTAAAAATTAACTGAAATATGCTGAAACACGTTTAAAAATCAACAAATGGAGGGGTGGGACTGATAGTGGGGACGGGGTGAGAGTACACCAGGTAAGGCTTCTCGCCCCTGGTTCCTGTGACCCCCCCCCCCCCCATTCCCAGGAGTGACCGCTGAGGACAAAGTCTGGAGTCAGCCCCAGCCTAGGCAGGTGCGGCCCCACCGAACCCAAGTCGATTGTCAGGACTGCTATTCTAGTCCCTCTGACTCCAGAACCACATCCAAAACCCGCTATCCGAACGGCACAAAAAAAAAAAAAATCACTAAACAAAGTTGAAAAGTAGAATCTCAAACGGGATCTGGTGTTTTCTGGTGAGATTTTGTTGTTAGTGTCCAGTGCTGGGGACACCACATGAACACATTTGGTGTCGCCTGAAAAGCCGGAAAATGAGGACACCTGAAATCCCGTGGGCACGAACACCATCCCTCTGCCGGCGCCCGAGGGGGCAGGGAGGGGTCGCCGCCCCGCGGACCCGGTGCCCGGCGGGGGCGCCCGCACCCGGGTGAGGGGACGGCGCGCAGGCGGCCCCACACGCTCTCGGTGCCGGCGCTTGCTCGGCGCGGGGGCTTCAAACGGGCCCAGGGAGAAGTGGCGGGCGGGGGGCTCGGGGCCGTCCGCTCTCCGTGGGGGTCACGCCCCGGACGCCGCTGGACGCCTCGGCCCAGACCCGACCCCGAGCCGCCGGGCACCTCCCGCGGGGTGGGGAACGCGCACGAGCCGGGAATCCTGGGCCGGACCCACAGCAGCGCGGGGGTGATCCCGGTCCCCCTACGTCCCCGAGCGCCGCTGAGCACCGCCGGGTGCGACCCAAAAACAACAACAACAACAAAAACTGACAGGTGCTGAAATGCCTTGCACGCGGCCGACCCGGGTTCGATTCCCAGCGTCCCATATGGTCCCCCGAGCACCGCCAGGAGTAACTCCTGAGTGCAGAGCCAGGAGGAACCCCCCCTGAGCATCGCCGGGTGTGACCCTAAAAGCAAAAATTAAATAAATAAATAAATAGATAAATAACTGACAGGGGGAGCCTGACAAAAGCAGCCCGGATCCAGGAGGCGGGTTCCGGAGACGCTCCCAGTCGGGAACGCGCCCGGGTCCGCGCGCGCGGGCGGGACAGAAAGACCCGAGATGCCGCGGGACGAGCGCGGGCGCCCCCGGGGCGGGGTCCCGAGCCCGCCGGACTCAGCCCGACCCGGAGAAAGCCGAGCCCGGGCCCGGGAGGCTCCTCCCGCCCCGGCCCCGCCCGACTGACCTGTGACGCTAGCCCGGGTGACGCGCTGCACCACGGCCTTCATGGCGGCGACGGGGGCGAGCCAGGCGCGAGCCGCGCCCCTTCCGGCCGCGACTCGCCGGGGCCGCCCCAGAGCCGCGCCCCCTGCCGGCGACACCCGGAAGCGCACGCGGCGGCCGGGTCGACCGGGCTCAGCAGCCACGCCCAGCCGCGGGTGGGGGGGCGGCGGGGGCCGCCCACGTGCCCCACCCCTGCCTAGTCCCACCCCCAGGAGGGGAGCGGGCACCGGGACCAAGCCAAGCCTGAGGCCCCTTATCTGGAAGTGTTATTTATTCCCTTTATTACCCACTCTCATCCCCACGCCTTAAAGCCGGGCATCCCTAAATTCTCATCTTGTCCTGTTCCTGTGTGCCCCTTCTTTTTTTCCTCTTCTCTGCCCCAGAACCCCAGATTCTTTAACCTCTTGTTTTTATGACATCTCAAAAGTCAACTAGAACAGAATTTATCTAGAACACCATTTATCTATTATTTGACTTAGCTATATCGTGGTAGTACTGAGAAATGTCATTCGAAGTCTTCTTTTATTACAAGTATTCATACTTAGCCTTCTTGACAGGTCATTAGATTTAGTCTGTGAAAGGGCTTAGAAAGTCGCAAAGGACTCCCCAACTATTGCCTTAACCAATTTATCAGCACTGATAAAAAATAATTCCTTCTCAGTGGCTCATATCAAAAACAGTAGGAACTATCTGTATTGGCAGGGATGTGGTGAAAAGAAACTCCTATCCATTGCTGGTGGGAATGTAATGTGGCTCAAAGCCCATGGAAAACAGTATGAAGAGCCCTCAGTAAACTTAGAGTTGAGCTACCATGTGATCCAACAACTCCACTTTGAGGATGCTACCTCCAAGACAAAAAAAAAATTCATTCAAAAGAACATATACACACCAATATTCATTGCTGCACTTGGAAAAATAGCTAAGAATCAACCTAGATGTCCAATAACAGATGAATGGATTATGAAGATTCTGTATATATACAATACAACTGCAAGTAATGATAAAATCATGCAATTTGCTGAAACCTGGTTGGAACTCAAAGATATGTTGTGTGAAGTAAGCTAGAAGAAGAAAAAAAAACACAGGATAATCTCACTTATGTGTGGTATATAGAATAACTGGATGAGGAAAAGTAATATAGTAAAAGGGAGATGTCTAGATCACCCTTGGTCACTGAGTGTAGGGAGGAGAGAACAGAGAAGGAAAGAAATCAAGAGTAGGGCTGGAGCAATAGCACAGCAGGTAGGGTGTTTGCCTTGCATGTGACCAACCCAGGTTCGATTCCCAGCATCCCATATGGTCCCCCGAGCACTGCCAGGAATAATTCCTGAGTGCATGAGCCAGGAGTAACCCTTATGCAACAACTGGGTGTGATGCAAAATGAAAAAAAAAAAGAAATCAAGAGTAAAACAGAGATGAGAAAGGGGAGTAATGGGAGAACAGGGGGCAGGGCTTTAGCTATCCTGGTGGCATGGGAGAGTGGTAGAGCTACATACCCAAAACTGACTCAACAGCACTGAAAACATGAGAGCTAAACAGCAACCACTGAGCTTTGCCTTTCAAGGTTGTAGGTGGGGTTGAAAGGGGATGGGGTGTGGGAACAGTGACAGAGGGAAGTTGACACCAGTGACTTGATTGGTGTTGAAATATCATATGCCTAAAACTCAACTATCCATAACTGTGTAATTCGTAGTTCTTTAATTATTTTTTTAATTTCTTCCCAGTATTCTCTCCTTGAAGTTCTCTAATAGCATTGTTGAGTGGATAATGATGGGATTCAGGACATATTACCACAGAACACAACACTTCAGCATGTGGAATATTTTAATCTGAAGGGTAATAAAGATTTTAATTCCCTGAAATAGGGCCATAAAATCTTCAAGTAAAATCTTCTTTTTCTTTCTTTTTATATTTTGTTTGTTTGTTGTTGTTGTTGTTGTTGTTGTTGGGGAAGAGCACACCTGGGGATGCTCAAAGGTTATGCCTGGCTCTATGCTCAGGAATTACTCCTGGCAGTGCTCAGGGAACCATACAACATGCTGGAAATAGAACTGCAGTAGGTGCCCTCCAAGGCCCTCCCTATCCACTGTACTATCTCTCTGACTACCTAAAAGTTTCTTTCTCCTACTCCAAGAGTAAAGGAGCATTCTCATCTCTGAAGACAGAGTAAGAAGAACCCTAACCAATAGGCCTTGCTTTCTCTCCTAGTTTGCTACAATTTCTTCCATGGCTTCCCTGAATCACAGTGAGATACACAGTTACAGAGTTGCTGGTGATTGGGTTTCAGTCATGGTGTTCCAACACCTATTCCCTCACCAGTGTACATCATTTCCCATTGATGTGGGCAGGTAGACAGGGAAAGGCCCTTGGCAATGAAACTTAGGTCAACAATCGTAAAAGAAAAATTTTAAGATTGATCCACCTTGTGGATACAAAAAACAAAACCCCGATAAGACCATCAGCAGACCCTGAGGAGATTGGACCCCTCCCCATGAAGTTCCTCTCCTCAAAAATCCTCGGACCTTTCCTTCAATCTAATTAACTTCAGTGATTCAGCCCCAGAAGACTCCAGAATTTCTGGATCAAGACAACCCGCAAAAAGCCTGTAAAAGACACCTTGAACAAAGGAAGGGTACACACATGCTGCCTAAGCCCATGTGCTGCTTGCGCCCGCGTGGCCGAGCACATGTGGTGCCTGTGCATATGTGTCGCCCGCATCTCCCCTCTTGAGATGTGTGCTTTCATGCATTTCTGTCTAACGTATGTAGGGGCTCTCGCCGCCCTTGGAGGAGCCCATGTTCTCTCTTGAGCCCGTTATTCTGTCTCTCTTAATCTCCACTCTCTCCCACTTTTCTCTTCTTTCTTCCCTTCAAGAACCCTCCAAACAAAATCTGTTAACTTCATTGCTTGTCTACTCCTGAAATTCTTTTCTGTGAACGAAACAAGAACCCTGAAAACCCTGGGTCAGGCCTGAGGCTGGCCTCTCCTTTCCTACAAAGAGCAAATCCTCGCCTCAGCCTGAGCCCGTGGCTCCCCGAGAAATCGGGTGGTGGGGATCAACTCCCATGCCTGGCAGACCAAGCAGACTTCAGGTGTGGCCTGATGGCCACCTGGTGGGGCTGGCAGGGGCTCAGGTTCATGCCGAGTATGGGCTGATCGCAGACTTTACCGGTCCTAGTCTTCTCAGTGGGTCCCGGGTGGCAGAGACGAAGTGGGAGAAGGTAACCTGTCCATCTCCTGTTTCTCCTCCTGACTCACAAGAGCCACCCGTGGGGTCCATCGACATGATCATCATAAATGTCCCAGTTTCTCTGCCACCAACCCTCCCCAGCCTGCCTCTATGGCAAGCATCTCTCTCTCTCTCTCTCTCTCTCTCTCTCTCTCTCTCTCTCTCTCTCTCTCTCTCTCTCTCTCTCTCCATGTTGAGTTCTCGACTTAGATACACATAACTGTTGTATTCAGAGATGTTTGTTCCGTTGCGAGTGAATGGAATAAGACATATATAAATAAAATAAATAAAATTTATAAATAAAAACTTAAAAAAACACTTTTACATTCTTAAAAAATTACTGAGGAGACTCACAAATGAATCTTGATATCTCATACTATTCATAACAAGCAATACAAAATAAATCATTTAGCATCTGCCTGTGGGGCTATGAGAAGCAGAAGATTCCTCAGTATGATCATAGAAAAGGAGGGAATGTGAGGAGCAGAAAATTCCTCAGTGAGATGCTAGGAAAAGGGGAATGTGAGAAGCAGCTAGCTCACCTCCTCTCACCCTGGTCGTGAAAGTTGCAGGGGGCAGCTCTGGCCAAGAGGGATAAATGATTTAATTGAGTTAACTAGTTTACAGCAACAGGCCCAGAGAAGCTCCTGCAGGAACATAAGGCCAGGAAAGGAATTTCAAAGAAGACCATCACCATTCCCAACCCCCCTGGTAACCGCCTTAGCAACGGACTTTTATCTGCGGGTAGAAGCCCACATGGGGGCAGTTTGGAGGAGCCCTATAAAGACCACCTTGAACAAAGGAAGGGTGTGTATATGCTGCCCCAGCCCATGTGCTGCTTGTGCCCACATGGCCGAGCACATGTGCCTGAGCACATGTGTTGCCCGCATCTCCCCTCTTGAGATGTGTACTTTCATGTTTCGTATCTAGCTGATAAGATGTTTTCTTTATGGGAACTGGGAATATCTTCTTAATTGGAAATGTTTGTTTTCTTGATAATTTGCTTTTTTATGCCTTTGTTCGCTTTGGACTCTTCGTAAGTTACTTTTGCCTTTGGAATTGTTTTTCTTCGAGCTCTGACCTAACTGAAGTCAGGACGCCTCGGCCCCAGCTAGCTGGAATAATAAAGCCTGGGTTTGTGGTTTGCAATCCCGCTGGACTCTTTGTCTCTCAGAATACTGAGGGGTGGTCTCGGTCCTAACAGGGCAGGCTTGAGTGGTGGTGGGAAAATTTGAAATAATGGTGGTGGGAAGGTGTCATGGTGATGTCGGTGGGCCCCACGGGTGACTTATGTGAAGCAGGAAGGAGAAAGATGGTCACTTTCTCCCCAACCGCCTCTGCTACCCAGGACCCAGGGTTACTGGGTTCTTGTCTCGCCTCGCAGAAAGGAATTTCAGGAGTAGACAAGCAGTGAAATAAATATATTTTATTTGGAGGATTTTTGGAGAGGGAGAGAAAGGGATAAGCAGATAAGCAGGGAAATGGAGAGTAAGAGAGAGGGTAACTCGTCCAGAGTTAACACGGGCTTCTCCGTGGGTGGAGAGAGCCCCTACACACATCCTAGCATTAGACACGAAAGCATGAAAGTACACATCTCAAGAGGGGAGATGCGGGCGACACATGTGCTCGAGCACCACATGTGCTCAGCCACCTGGGCATAAGCACACATGGGCTCAGGCAGCATATGAGTGCCCTTCCTTTGTTCCAGGTGGCCTTTATAGGGTTTCTCCAACCTGCCCCCACGTGGGGTTTCTTCCCAAGTAAAAGTTCATTGCTAAGGAGGTTACCAGGG